CCTGCAATGGTGTAGACGACTGCATCATCTGTATCGGAACTGTCGGCCTGTTGATTCTTTTTGGCCGACTGCTTTTTCGAGGAAGTGTTCCCCGTAGATTTCTTGACATAAGTGTCAAGATCACCTTGCTCAGCCAGGCGGTCCAGATACCGCATGAGACTGATGCATTCATTGGTGTGATGACCAACATCTTCATGATAATCACATAATTTTTCTTGGTTCCGGTTGTTTGCAGAACCCTTCATGGGGACCGGCTTCTCAATTGAGATCCGTCCCTTGATTTCCTTTAGGATAAATTGGCTATCCTTGTTAAACGCATACTTTGGGGAGTATGGTTTGAATTCTTTTTTCTTTTTCTGGGCCGGCTGTTTAGAGGAATCAGCCGCCCAGACCTCTTTTTTCTTCTCGTCTTTGTTTGACGACTGCTTCTGTCGTCCTTCTCTTTTGTCGGACCTTCTCCCGTCTGACTGTTTTACCGTACTACAAAGATCAGTCGCCTGTATATAAGCTTCCGCTTCAATCAAGGCCTCTTGAAGAGTCGCCACCCTCTTTCGGACCAAATCAAATTTGAAGGTCGACCCGTCTTTGAGACCTCTGAAAAAGTCAGTATAGGCTACTTCATCCGGTAACCCTTGAATCTGTATTCTCATCAGGTTAAACCGCCTGATGTAAGAACGAAGCCCCTCCTTCTCGCCCTGCTGAATTGTTCCTAAATCAAGGGTCGTCTTCTTCGCAGGGATGTTCATGGCGAAGTTGGAGGTGAATAAGTAAGCAAGCGTCTTGAAGTTATTTACACAACCAGTCGGCAGGTTGCCGAACCATTGTTGTGCGATTCCTTTGAGAGTCGCTGGGAAACACTTGCACCAAGTGGGATCATCCAACCCTTGAAGGTACATCAGGTTGGTGAATGCCATCAGATGGTCTTCTGGGTTAGTAGTGCCGTCATAGGCGCCTACTAATACATTTTTCACTTTGGCCGGCTGAGCGGCTTCAGTAATTTTCTTGGAGAAGGCCGACGGCTGTTCACCAAGTCTAAGCAACCGTAGCTGCCAGTCCATAGGTTGGACATTTTTTGCTGCATGTCCACCAAACGGAGGTGGCTGTAAAAAATACTGTTGTTGCGGTACAAACGGTAAGTTTGGTACCGCCTGGTCGCTATGATAGCCGGACTGACGGGAGGTGCCGCCTGACTGACTCTCATGATACGACTGAGTATGCCTCATCGAGGCATTTCGCAGACTGTCTTGGAAGTTTGAAGTAGAGGCCGACTCTGACAATCGGTCACTCTTCTTCTGCTCTAGCAGTAGCCGAGCGTCTGTGTATGTTTTCCTCGACCCGTCCGCCTGAATATGACGAACAAGTTTCCTATTTCCTGGAGTAGGAAAACGGTATTTTGTGAAATCAAGGGCAGGTGGCTCCCACTTCCTAGATTTAGGATGAGGGGTCGCCTCTCGCCCTTGAACTGGCTTCCTCTTCCGTGAAGTGGAGGGTTTCTTAGCCGACTGCTCCTTGTCCAGAGCAGGCGGCTTCTTGTTGATCAACTCTTGAATTTCTCCCTTGAAGTCCCTCATGAAGGTCATGAGTTCGTTCCTTGTGATGGGAGCAGACCCATCAGTCGGCTGCTGCCGAACAGGCGGTGCGCCTGCTGGCTCGCTTCCTGTATGAAGATGTTCCCGTTCCCTCCTTTCGGTATGACGGGTACGTCGGGCCCTTAGGGTCTCGTCTGAAGCTGTGTGAGCTTCAACTTCAAATTCATTCTCAGTATCGTGGTCCGACTGAACTAGAGGGTCGTCCAGGGGACGTCTCTCTTCAGGAGCCGGTACAAACGTGGATGCCATCTCAGAAGTACTCTCCCCACAGACGGCGCCAAGATGTTTCGGGGTTTTCTGATGTCCTGCGGGAGAGTTACAATTCCGAGACTGGAACCGGGCGCCTGTACCTGCAAAACAAACGGATGCTCCGGATGATTGGAGATCCGCCTCCGACGGTCAAGTTAGTACTTGATTAAGGAGTAATTAATGCGGAAATTAAAGTGATTGGGTCTCTCTAGGTGAGAGAGTTTAATGTGTGTAATCTGCGTAATCTCCCTTAATGAGGATTAAGGGAGGTATTTATAACCTCGGGAAACGTGTCAATCTAGGTTTAGGTTAACCTTGGGCTGATTGGGCTTCCCACGGAAGTTGGGCCTAGGTGACCGGTTATCCCAGGTGTCATGGGAAGGACACGTGTCGTGTCGTAATTGGTCCATAGTGGACGGATCATTGCTTGACACGTGGCAGGCTCCTATTGGCCCATGTGACGGACACATGGCAGAACCTGATTGGTCCACTTGTCAGATGGTGATTGGTGGGAAAAAATCTCCTAATCAAGAGGTGTTAGCTAAGTAAGTCGATGTACGAAATTGTAAAATAATTTTTTTTTCCCCGGAAATTTTACTTAGGAGTATTATTCTTTTATACTATAAACTTATTGTAATTGTGTTATGAGATGTGATACACATACACACGCGACCTAAAATTAACAAAGTTATTGCTTTTGGGCAAGTTCTTTTTCTTTGAAAAAAAAGTAAAACTATACCGTATATACCTAAAGAGTAAAGACTCTAAAAGGAACTAGAGATCTAAAATGTAATGAGGTATCTACTTGCTTAAATATTATCCAATATCACTTTATTATATGTAATCCTAGAGTATTTTTGTGCAATACAATCTCAATTGTATACATAATCATTCAATAGACTTTCCTAAAACTACACCAAAAAAAAAAAAAAAAAAAATAGTTACTAAATTAGTGAGTAAATTTATTTTAAAATTTAATATCACGCTTTTATTCTTGTGATCTTGTCTATAATTAGTACTCCGAAATACGGAGTAGTACTACTAAAACTATAGTAATGGAGTATTTAAGTTCAATATATCAAACAATCTTTAAAATATCTAATGTGTTCTAAACTTTCGATATTTTATGTGACATGATTGATGATTATTTTAAATACAGTACTAAACATATTCATGTTTTATGTATAATTTTATTTTCATTATCTAACTTTACAAAAATTTGAGTTTTGACTCAAATTTTTATCAGTATATACACACAAAAAAAAAAAAAAATCCAAAGTATTAATGTTTAATATCAAATTTTGTTTTTGTTTTTTTTACCTAATATAGTATTCCAAGTATCAATAATAAAAAAATACATGTACAGTATCATATCATATACTAACTCCGTTTTTTTAACTGACACGTTTTGACTTTAGCACAATTCACACATTCCCCTTTGATCGTTTTTCGTGCTTTATACGTAATGAAAAATATAGTTGTGTGAGATCTTGTTAGATTCGGCACGATATATATTTTCAAAATATCAACTTTTCATAATTTTTACTTATCGATAATTAAAGATATTGATGGTTGAATTTGTGCATATACATACGTGACTAAAAAAACGTGTCAACTAAAAAGAAACGAAGGAAGTATATACAACTAATATAAAGCTAAACTTTTAGTCAGGCCACGAAACAGCAACACCTGGCGTTTCAACTTTTCGCCAAGTGTCGCGCCACGTAGGCAACAATTAAATATTCATAAGAAGTGTAGGACTTATTTGGCTAAATTTTTTATGAATAAAAAAGTTGTTTTTTTTATTAGAAAAAAAACTTGGATAGATTTTGTAGGATAAAAAAGTTAGTTAGGGACTTGTTTGGCATCGTTTTTTGTTTTCAGTTTCTTTTTTTAAAAATAAAAACCAAAAACAGGAAACAAGAAAAAACTAAAAAACAGAAAATCATAACGATGCCAAACTAACCCTTAGAGTTTATTTTCAATAAAATTTGGAATTGATAAAATTGTTGGTTTAGAGTTTTATTTCAAATAAAATGTCAATATTTCACGGGTACAAAATAAATTATAAATTTAGTCAGACCACAAGACAACGACACTTGACGTTTCAACTTTTGACCAAAAGCTGCACCACGTAGACAACGATTAAATATTTAATCATATAAATTTATTTTTATATCACAATTTTTTTTGGAGCGAAGAAAACGTACAACATTCATTTATAATATGTTCTAATAGATTAGTTTTAGGAAACGTATTAACTTTTACGAAGTTTTAAGAAGGTTACTTGAATTTAATAAAATAATAGGTAGTGGGGTATAAGTTTGAGGATTGAGAAGAAAGTAAGGGGTTTTGTGGGAACCATAAATTAGTTAAACATTATTAAAAATAAAGATAATATTACGTAGTATTAAAAAAATGGAGAGAATTTTATAAAAAAGGAAACGTTTCATTTATTAAATTACGGCCGAAAAAGGAAAATGTTTCATTTATATTTATACACAGCGGGAGTATTACTGTATGTAGATTTGTCGATCGGGTCGAGTCACGGGTCATTTCAGGTCGACTCACTTCAGGTCACGGATCAAGAAATGTTCAAAGATAGCCAAAAGTTTCGGGTTCGGGTCAACCCAACAAGCTTAGAACAATTTTTTTTTAATTTATTTTTGGCTAATATTTAGAAATTTCTAATACTTCAACCTTCTTTGCTATTTTTTTTTTAATAATCTTTTAAATCGAACATTCTCACCAATATTATTATTAGTCATTTACATGTCTACTACATAATTTAAATCATCACAAAATTACATAATTCCTAACTAATTTTGTATCAATGATATGTTTTAAAACTTGGTATATAGATAAAAAAATTATCTTAAAATTCAATAAACAACCCGAATAGTTAATAATAAAAATATACAAGTACTACACCGTATGTCAAAAACCATAATATTAATACGAGTAATATCTCCCCCAAATCTCTCAATGTTTGAAGAATTTAAAACTCTTTGGAAAATTCTACTTCCTCTTCTCCATAAATATTGCAACAAGGATGAAATTAAGCTAAATATCTATAATTATATAAGATAAAAATTATAAAAAGTTGATATTATTTTACGAGACGAATCTAACAAGACCCTATATGACTATATTTTACTTTACGTATAAATCATAATACGTAGTCAAACAAGCGTGATGAATAGTATAAAACTCCAATTATTACAATATTATTGGAATAGAGGAAGTAAAATCCCGAATTTCCCCCCTTAAAATTTCTCTCTATTTTTATTAAATCATTCCCATACTTTTGACTACTTCCTTAAAACCTTTTTTCAACTCCAAAAATAACAGACCTCAAAAACACACTCTCCCACTCCACTCTCTCTCTCTCTCCAGACCCCACAACCATGACGTCACTTTCCGACAACAAATTCCCCCAATTCGACGCAGTTTCTGATCTTTCCGACCACCATTTCGCCGGAAAACACCCTAGAACACCCTCAATGCCAACAACAGCCCAGAAAAAGATAATGCAAGAATGGAAGCTTTTTAAAAAGGACTTACCCGAAACCATTTTTGTTCGGGCCTATGAAACCCGGATGGACCTTCTTCGGGCCGCAATTGTCGGTGCTCGTGGAACTCCTTATCATGATGGGTTGTTCTTCTTTGATATTGCTTTTCCGGCGGATTATCCGGCGAAACCACCTTTGGTTCATTATCAGTCATTCGGGTATCGGATCAACCCGAATTTGTATAATAATGGCCGGGTTTGTCTTAGTTTGTTGAATACTTGGTCAGGTAAAATGTGTGAGAAATGGGATCCTAATAAATCTACTATTCTTCAGGTTTGAATCTTTTCTTTAGAATTATCAGTTTAATCCTCTGTTTTTAAATTATCAGTTTAATTAAATGTGTGATATTAGAGTTATGTTATTTCTAGTTATAAAGATTGAGTTGGAAATTTTGGGTTTTGATTATGATTTTAAGTGTTACTCTTTCCGTTCGTTAAAGATTGTTTTTTAATGTTTCGGTTTTAATTTTGATCATGAGTATAAGAAATAAGCTGTTGTTTGATTAGTATTAAAAAAAATAAAAAAAATTCGTTTATTTTATTGACTTGACCCTGCTCCAAAATTGACTAGAAAGATAGTTTTACTGCCGATAGAAAGTTACTTGATGTGAAAATCGGCTTGTTTGATTCGTTTAAGCGTGAGTTCTCGTTGATCCCCTCGAATTCACGTGAATGTGTGATTGTTGTTTGTTTCCAGTCATGTTTTAGTGACGGTTCGTTCAAGTTAATTTTGGTTCGGGTCTCATGTTTTAGTGACGGTCGTGCAATTTAGTTTTGGTTGGGGTCATGTTTTAGGGATAGTCATACAATTTAATTTTGGTTCGGGTCATGTTTTAGTGATGCTGGTTCAATTTTGGTTAGAGTTACTAGTATGTTTTAGTGATGGTCATTTGGTTTATTTTTGGTTCGAGTGGGTCCATTTTATGGTCAATTACTTTTAACATGAGGTCACTATCGATTAATATGCCAAAGTTCATAGTTTTTGTGTTTTTTTTGGTGTGTTAAAGTACTGTACTACTTATTACACAATGTTTTTGGTTTGTTAAAGTATTGTAATTTAGATTGTTAGCTCTAATTTGACGAAAAGGCTTGGAGATTGGAATGCTCATATTAACTTGAAATCATTGGAAAATTATTGCAGCTACTCTTGTCAATCCAAGCATTAGTCCTCAATGAAAGGCCATACTTCAACGAGCCAGGTAATGCGGGATGGGCTGGGCGAACTTACGGGGAGAAGAAATCTTTGGCATACAGCGAAGAAGTGTTTGTTCTAAGCTGCAAAACAATGCTTTGTGTGCTTCGAAGGCCTCCAAAGAACTTTGAGCAACTGGTTACTGAACACTTCAAGGATAGCGCTGAGTTTATACTGAATTCTTGTGATGCATACAGGAAAGGGTTAGCAGGAGTTGGGTTATTCAATGGGGTTCTGAAGGGAACTAAAGCGGAAATTTCAGTCAAGTTTAAGGGGGCAGTGAATCAGGTTTATGGGGAGTTGATGGTGGCATTATCGAAAACTGGTGCTTCTGTAGACCTGTTTGTCCAACAGTTTAAGGAAGAGGAAGAACAGAAGGCGAAAGAGAAAGAACTGAAGGCGAAAGACAAAGCTGCTGCTGCCAAGAACAAAGTAGGTGGATTTGGGAAAAGTGTTGTTCAGAAGTTGAAGAAGATTATGTCTCTGGGATCAATATTGAAGAAGAAGAGTCAGAAATCGAAGACAATTCCTGTCTAAGCTGTTTTCGGGCTGCTTGAACATGATCTTTAACTATGTGCAGATTATAGAAAAAGAAGAAAGTAGTAGAAAATTTCTGATATGGTACATACATAGTAAGTAGGAATTAAGATTTGCTTAGTATATATTACTAGGATGAGTAGTATTGATGGTATTCAAAAGACATTGACTTGGTTAAGTCATGGTGGAATTCCAGAAGATGGTAGACAAAGGAAGATTCGGTTTGAACATTGAAAACTTAGTTTGCGTTCAAGTTTGGAGAAGTGAGCAGTTTATCAAATCATCAGAATTGTTGTTGCATGATTCGAAGGCGATTCTAATAAGTGTAATAACACATTGTGATGATTACAATTTTCAATGACACGATTTACACTAGAATGCAATGTGAATTGGTGAAGTGTTGAGTATAGTACCGTATTCCCTCCGTTCCTTATTTATATGTCTACTTTTCTTTTTGGGGGTTTTAAAATTACATGCCTATGCCTATTTTAAGAATGTACTTTTTGACAATATTTCCTATTTTTTGGTACTTTTGACATCATTTACAACACTTTATCTCTCCATCTTTTCAATAATTACCAATTATCTTTTCTTTCTCTCTATCTCTCTCTAATTCCGCATACATATTTGTACTTCCCGATCATGGCTATTAAGTTCCTTAATTCTTGCGTAAATAAGGAACGGAGGGAGTAGTACCCAAAAACTTTGTATAAATTCTTTTGTTTGCTATGGTTATACAATGATTTGTATGACCAAAATATCTAAGCTGGGCTCTAGCCATTTCCCTTCTTACTATCATGGATAAGGTTTTAGCAAAAAGTCACTTAAAAGAGCCTTAGAAATTTGGAATTGTGATAATTGTTCACCACATCAAATAGGTACTAATCGAGTAATCGTACTATTGTTAAAAAATTGATCTGATTTGAGAGCAATGTGACTAAGTTTTTAAATGTTTGAACCAAAATTTGATCGGTATAAGCACAATGATTTAGCATGACTTAAATTTAAAGTGATCCAATATGAATTCACTTGGTATGTACAATTATTAAACAAAAAATAGTTTATTGTTTATTAGTGATTTAATTTTTGGGCTTGCATGCGCTACTAAGAGCGTGTTTAACACTAGATTTTGAGTGGCTTTTAGTGGTTTGACTAAGTCACCAACAACTCAATAAAAATATACGAGCGTTTAACAAAGTAGTGGTTGGGGCAGTAGTTTTTAGTGGTGGAGCTAATCAAAAGCTAATAGTAATATTAACTGTTGAAATTTATTACAAGTATATATTTTTTGGAAAAAAATATTAATTAATATTATATGTTCACAGCTAGTCAACGACAACTTATCGAACACTTATATTTCAATTGTCTATTTCACTACTAACAACCTGTTGACGTCTAACAACTACTTGTACAACTAAACGCTACTATCACAACTATATTTTGCCCAACACGCCCTAAGTCTTTCACTCCCATGGTAGAGAATTCTTTATTTTCTCAGCTAGGGATGTGATTAGCCCTAAATGACTATAAACCGTAAATGCATTAGTGGAATTAGGCTTGCTTCCAACTTTCCAAGGTAATGATCAAACCAAGACCTTCTTCTTCTTAATTTACACTTCAACAACTTTTTGTTCACCATTGAACTTTAATCAACTAACTATTTGTTCCTCATATAATCAAGGTGTTTGAAGTAAAGAAGTTATTGAGATTCTCAAGTATCATGACACCTTTATTGGCTCATCAAAAAATTAAAATCTCTTTATTACATTATATTAATTTCTTATACATTTATAGTCAATACATAATATCCATTATAAAAACCATAAGACATTTTATTTTAAATAACACCTTACAATATTTATAAATGACTTTTCTTTTCGAAGAAGGGGCTCATATCCAGATTTAACTTGTGACTAAACTTCTAATACTGCTTAATTCAACACGTCTAATTCGACAATGGCATAACAAGGGACCATCCCTCTCCGAACAATAATAGGCAAAGGAGCGACCACTCGACCATTGAAATCGGACAATGTATGAAGACACCCGCATGACCCGTTCATCAAACCAGAAGAAACAAGAACAACAACAACAAGAAGAACAACAACATAGCCAGCCAGCCAGGCAGGCAGCCATGCCCTCCCCACACCCCTTGCCTTTCCCATGACCCTAAATTCCACATTGAAAACGACCCTTTTACCTTTGGCCCAATCACAATCCTTCCTCAAAAACCTCCCTTTATTCTCTCTCCTCTGCCTCTCCACCACCCAACACAAACCACCCCACAATTAAAACCCAGAAAACCCATCTTCTTCCTCTCTCTCTCTAACTAAATCAAAATCAAAATCCCACCATTTCCCCCCTGCAAATTTCGAATTTTTGATGTGGGTTTTGATTATCGAATAGTAGTTCTTCGATAATTTCAGGAATTGGGTTTTTCCCCCCGAGAAATGTTTGATGCTCAAAGCTTTGATGAACTTTCTCTCTCTATGTTGGAAGCCTTTCGGCGTTGATATCGTCGGCGGAAGCAGCGGAGGAGACAACGATGGTGGCGGTGGTAGAGATGGCAGAGATGGGTTGCTTTGGTACCGTGATTTGGGAAAGTGTGCTACTGGGGAGTTTTCTATGGCGGTTGTTCAGGCTAATCAGGTGCTTGAAGATCAGAGTCAAATCGAGTGTGGGCCTTTTGGCACCTTTGTCGGTGTTTATGACGGTCATGGTGGGCCCGAGGCCGCTCGGTTTGTCTGCGATAATCTGTTTCGCCACCTTCAAGGTTCGTTCTTACTATATTATTTTGTTTGATTGATGTTATAATTTGATTGATGTTTGTATGAATGATTTTGGAAATGTGGGATTAGATGCTGGATTTTAATTGGGTTTTTGTGGTTTTGACTTGAAGTTGTTTGATTAATTTTTAGGGTTGAAATGTGAATAAAATAGCATAGACTTTGTATGATCATATTCTTGATTATCTTTAGTTGATGAGCTGGGAGTAAAGACTAAATTCGTGTTAATTGGAAGAGATCCTGGTTGAGGATATTGATGAGTTGAGAGTTGATAATAGATATTAAAATGTTTTAATTGAAGGAGAACCTGTTTGAGGATACTGATGAGTTGGAGTAGATATAGCATGTGTTTATTGGCTGAGAGCGCGATTGGGGATATTAAAGAGAAGCCATAGGCATGTTTTTACTAATAATGTAGAATGGTGATTTGGGTTGTTTCTTTTTTTGGGTGATGGACGAAGGCCTATGTTGAAAGAGTGAAATGGGAATTAGCTCAATGCATAGAATATGCAATCAATATGAAGAGTTTGATGTAGTTTATATATTAATCTCTACATTAGTGTTCTCCAAGACCAATTGCTCCGGAGTTTGAAGAGCATGGTACATAGCAAATGGAATGATTGGAAGGATGGTTTATTAGGGCACACTGATTTGTAGTTAGTGATAGTATTGCATGTGGAGAGATGTTTGACTAAATTGAAGTTTGATGGCAGCATAGTGTATGGTGTACCTTTTGGATTGTAAGCATGTGTAGGGTGCATATGTAGGGCTCCCACCATACACTGATTCATCATGTCTATTATTCTTTCATGATGTGGAGCATAGTAGCATACTTGAAGTTGCTATGTGTTGTTCAGGATTTATTCGAATTTTAAGTAGGAGCTTTTTGGGGGAAATCTAAGTATCAATTTTGTTACTCTTTACATCCTAGTTACCAAAATGGTCTTGGTGTTTCTGTGACATCAGGGATAACAATGTTTATATCTTATTATCTTCCTTCGCCCCCTCAATACTTTTTTCAACATGTGGATCTTGCAAATATGTGATTAGTTTCATCTGATAAGTTAGTTAAGTTTTTGCTGACTTTAGTCATTGGTATCTGCATTCTGCTGTGTACCACTAAATTGAATATTTGCTCCCTTTTTTTTTTGTTATTTCAATTTCTTTAGCTAAATATGTAGAAGATGCCTACCTTATGTTTGCGTTCTTAGGATTTCTATTGATGCAGCAAAATCAGCTGAGACTGATGGTGTAGTCACAGCAGAGACCATAAAAAGAGCTTTTCGTGAAACAGAGGATGGTTTTCTTGATGTGGTTTCGGAGTTGTGGAGCACAAAACCACAAATAGCCACTGTAGGGTCATGCTGTCTTGTTGGTGTGATATCACAACACACTCTTTTTGTGGCAAATCTTGGAGATTCCCGTGCTGTTCTTGGGAGGAAAAATGCTAATACTGGAGGTGTGGATGCTGTTCAATTAACAAGTGAGCATAATGCTAATGAAGAGGCAGTAAGAAGAGATCTAAGAGACTTACATCCAGATGATCCCCAGATTGTCATGTTAAAGCATGGAGTTTGGAGAGTGAAAGGAATTATTCAGGTTAGTTATCGTGCTACCATTTCTTCTTCTGTTGATCCTTTTTAAGCCTGTTATTGATGTTTTGTGTGGTGTGCAATTTTGGAATTTTTGGGGTATATTGTGGATTTGGAAATAAATGTTGATAGTCCTTTATATGTGTAAAATCTGTAAATGAATAGTGTCTTTTTTGGGTGGTTGTATTCTTATTTTCTTAGCTCTTTATCTGGCATTGTAACCATGAGCTTCATAGAAATATGTATGTTTTTTCCGTAGATTTCCTAGAAGCTAACCATGAAAGGTAAAGACAACCCTCTTGAGAGGCTGAGACCAGCTCGGCACCTATTGAGCATGTGTGGCTATATATTTTTATTCGTGTTTATTTGCTATGCTATCCAAAATCAGGGATAAGGGATTAAGGGTCATCTTTTTGTTTGAAACTAGTTTTTTAGATTTGCCATCTTTTATTTTTTGATACTAGACTTTTCAGATTTCTGATTTTTTGTATTGGTAAATATTGTTGTAGTATTGATGGTTTAATGAATTAAAGGGATTCAGAAGGCATTTCAATTTTGGATGTGGTCATGGTTAACACCTCTTTTATTAATAAGATATACTTTAGGAGTTTGAGCTACTTTGTATCCTTTAAAACCATCTAGGCTCTTAAGATTTTATAGTGTGGCTTCTTTGACCCCCCTCTTTGATGTTATGTTTGCATTTGTGGCTAAGATTGGTGGAAAACCCAACATCAAAGGCCAAAAACTGTTGAGTATTGGTGGTGCCTTTTAGAGTGAGATTAACTGTTTTGGTTTCCACGATCAAATCTAGTCCTATCAAAAATTGGTCTGGCATGGAAATACTTGGTCTTGAACCAAATTTTTTGACTCAAAACCTGATTTTATCATAACTTAAGTAACCTGAAAAATATTGATTCAAATCCAACTTTGCCCGAGAATCCTCGTATTTACTGTAATAGAATGAGCTTATGAGGACTTTTCTGCACAAATATCTCTGATTATAATAGTTTTTGGGTTTAACATGGCTCTGGTTGGACTTATACATCATCTATAGTTGGATGTGGTTATAATTAAATATGTTTAATATGATTTTTTATTGGCATGGTATAGTTCATATTTTTTATCAAGATATGGTTATACTTTGGTTTAGAAAAACCAAATTTTAATGGGCATTGAACGTTAGGTTGACCGGAACCTGAAGATTCTGAGTCATGAATAAGCAATACCCAAACCTGAAGAATATTGTCCCGCGGGGGGGGGGGGGGGGGGTGGAATTCAAACCCCAACTTGACCCAACAAGCTTGTTTGACATGTTAATCAAGCTGGTGTGTTCAATGCAAAGGAGGGGGGTGGGTGAAGCTGACAGTTTCCGGAGTTTAGAGAGAAATTGAGATGGTGAGTTGAGTTAATGATGGAAGAACCGAAGGAGGAAATCGTGGGTCTATGAGGGAGGAGGAATGGGGTGAGGGATGGGTGGTTGGGGCTCTTTATTACTCTTGAAACCAATAATTATTAATGAATTTGTAGGTAACTTGAAATATCGATAATATTCACTTTATTGCCTTAGATTGTTTGGACAGAAAAGGCGAATTTGTAGGAATTTGTAGTTATGAGCTAACGTATTGGAGTATTTTTAACTTCTTTTTTTTTTTTTTTTTTTTTTCCTCTATATTTTATATATATAAAATAATTCATTTACCTATCTGTTGTTTGTTTATTTTGACTGTTTCTTACATCTTGGTGTATTATATGTGAAAATAAACTACTTTCAATGTTGTGATCATCTCTTGTGCAGGTTTCTAGATCTATAGGGGATTTTTATATGAAACATGCTCAGTATAACAGGGAACCTATTAATGCAAAATTCAGGCTTTCAGAACCAATACACATGCCTATCTTGACTGCAATTCCATCTATTGTTTCACATCATCTACAGCCGAATGATTCTTTCCTTATTTTCGCTTCTGATGGTCTATGGGAACACTTGTCTAATGAAACTGCTGTTGATATTGTGCACAGTCATCCCCATGCTGTAAGATTTTACTTGTATTATTTTATTATCTGTTTCTTAGGATCATTTACTTAATAAGGATGTTTCTGTATATGCTTGTGCTTCACGAATGTAAGGTTGGGCCTTTGTGGCTGTATGTGTGTTAATGTAGGGAGAATTGACTTTCAATATCCATTAATTGGGAAACACTAGTTGTTAGGTGTACTTTATGTGTGATTACATTTCAGTCTATGTGTTTTTATCTCAAGTATCATGTATGTTGGTTGTTTTTGTTTTATACATTATCAAATCTTCAGTGAATATAATTTTGCCCTTATGTGCTTTATATCATATTGAGTTTCTTCCCGCCCCCCTTTTTTGGGATAACTGGAAGTATTAATTTAGAGACGGATTGCTGTTGCTGTGTTGTTGGTGACTAGATCTTGAACAATGAATGAAATATGAATAGCTGGAGTATTTGTACTCTCCTTGGTGGTTTGGCCACTTTTTTTTTTTTTTTTTTTTCTCTGGTTCAGGCTTTCATCACCTTTTTTGTATGGTAGTGTAATAGACTAGCCTAGTGGGATGGGGTCCTCTTGGTAATGCAAATTAGTTCATTACCTTTAGCTTGAAGAGGAAAGTAGTTAGTTGATTAGAGGCAAGAGACGCAAAGGAAGTGTGAGAGGATGTAAATTGAGCAGATCAGTTAGAAAGGAGATAAGTAATAGTTGAGAATTTATTTTACTTTGATTAGTATGTAAGTGGGAGTGTCCAGCCACTCTAAAGACTGGGATTATGAACCCCATTTGTTGATTTAATTGCATCAAATTACAATCTACTATCTTTATCCTCTAAATTTGTTCTTCATAATTCTCACAAATTGGACTTTCCATGCTATTACAGATATACAGTGGAATTTACACTTTTAAAATCTTTACAGAGAGATTCTTGATCCTCTCATATTGTTATCAATGTAGTGATGTTAAGACTTATCTAATTGAACAAGGATCTACTCCGTATTTGTGAATCTCTTAGCATCTGTGGCTTTCGTTTGATTATTAAGTTTATTTTATCATATTGGAGCATGCATTCTTGGTACTTTGGTAGCTCACAAGCTTCTGGATATTGCAGGGAAGTGCTAAACGGCTTGTCAAAGCTGCACTACATGAGGCTGCTAGAAAAAGAGAGATGCGGTTTTCTGATCTCCAGAAAATCGACAAGAAAGTTAGACGTCATTTCCATGATGACATTTCTGTCATTGTGTTGTTCTTTAACCATGATCTTATCCGCAGAGGTGTGGTACAGGACCCTCCATTTTCTATCCGAAGTGCTTTAGAACACTAGTTGCATGTGACAACTTACATGGCTGTTAACCGAAGACGAGTTTCATGATTTTTGTGCCAAGCATTCAAATGCGAGACACACCATGTCACTGAGGCAGCATATTCCAGTTTTTTGCTGGTGGACTTGTATTCTGGAACAGACGAACTGTTAGAGAGTTGACATCTTTTCGGATATCATAGGCTTGCAGGAGCAGCTGAGCATCATTCAGTTGGTTACTTTTGGAGATTTACTTACAAAGGAAATCGCACTGCTCACTGATATGGGGCTTCTGGATGAATCATATTTTATCAAATTTTCCTGTCCTGTACTTGTATTTGCTATCAGAAGTCCATTTACTTGATGTGCAATGGCAGCCTTGCAGTTAACCAGCACAGAACATACCTTTTCTTTGACTTCCCCCCACCCCCTTATTGTTTCTCACATTTCACAACACTGATCATTGATGTTTGAAATTTTATAAGACACGGGATGGTATCTCAATCAGCAAATGAAATGAGTTATTTTTTTTTTTTTCCATTTCCATCCAGAATTCTAACCCCATACATACTACTGCGTATACAAAATTACCACTCTCAATTGATGGAGCAAGATCACATTCTCTTTGGTTTATCAATTGATCGATAAGGGTTGCTTACATTGGCAGGTTTGGTTACCAGTCGAGTGCGGTCAATTAGGATTGCTATGGGGTGGATGTAGATGGGATAATTTCTCTGCTCAACCAATAAACATATTTGCTTACTTTGGCAGGTTTGATTGCAGGTAAGGGCTAGTCTAAAAAATCAGTGTACCCTCGAATCACAATTTCTGAAGCCTAAATAAATCGGACTTATAAATATGACTATTTTTATTGCACGTTTTGTAAAGATTAAAAATTTTCATTTGTAAGCCTCCCTGATGTCTCTATATTGACAGAAATAAGGCAACCTTTGTCATTACTACTCAAGAAAACTCTTGCAGTTGGAGACTTGGAGGCTTGGAGTTTCAAACTCGTAGCCCTTGAAGATAGTTTGTAAAAAACATTGGTAACAAAAATGAACATATAATCTTTGAGCTATATGTACATTATATTAGAATTATTTGTTCATATAGAATCCAAGTGCACGCCTACAACAAAATTACAAAATATATAGTTGCCCTCCCCCATCCCCATTCACGACAAGCAAGCCCTCATGTTGTTACCTTCTTTGACAAACACGCATATCCACCATCTCTAATGAAATAGGAGTTTATTACATCTTTGAACTTTATCCTCTTGCTTCTCTCTCTATCTCTCGCTACGTAGCTATTTGTATCTTATAAATTACACTTCTATCAAGAGTTTATGAACACTTGTTAAGTTTCATCTTCGTTCTATATTTAATGAATCAAATTAATGATTAAGGAAATAACCTTTCTATGCTAAAAACATGTTTAATATCAAGGAATTAAACAATTTTCCCTTTGGAATCACCATTCCCCTAATTTAGTTCTAATTTATACTCAATAGGAAATTTTTAATGAATCCATGGTGAATATGCTAAAATGTAGAGGAAGTTTAATAAGTGACGACGTGTCGTCCATGGATACACTTGTTAGAAAAATACATATTAAAAAATATAAATTGTTTGTCTAAAGGTAAAATTGAACGGAGTAGTATTTTAGGATAAAATTGGGTAAAATCATTAGAATCAGTAGCGGTTTTAGGAATCCCAAAACCTCTAATACCATGAAGTGTGCGAATTTATGTAATTTATTTACTCGTACAAGTTTGCTATTTCTTCGGTTGACACAATCACCCCCCAAAACTTTATCCGACTAATGGTTTATGTGTATTAGCCCAAAACCAAGTCTGGTGCTGCCCGTGCTGGTACCCACTACCCAGTGATCTTCTTCGTCTACTCTGGTCTACGATCCCACGACCATTAACCACACTACTACATTCTCAGCTCCTTGCTTGTTGCTACTCCCCCTTTTCTACCCCAAATTCAACAATCACACCAATAACCTTAAACTGAATCAATTGCGAATTGCAATTCAGATTGATGATTCCAATTCAATTTCCATGGAAGATGAAATTAGCAAGAAACTGTGTAACAATGGTGATACTATTGATTCTGTTAATGGCGGAGTTTCCATCAATGGAGTCAGCGCACAAAGCCTTCAAAAGGGACCCCGGAAGCCCTCATTGGCATCATGGCGCTTTCCACGATGTCAAAGATAGTGTTCGATCTGATGTTCGTCGTATGCTTCACTCTCGCGCTGAGGTGATTTTTCTAGGGTTTATCCTTCGAATTTTCTTATATTTTATTGATTTGGGAATTTGTTATTCTGATTTTGGCTGTAGTTTAATTTGATTTGGGTTTGATTTTATGATGATTTTTGGATTTAGAGCTTGGTTGCTACTTTGATTGCATTAGTTTGATGTTGTGGGATGTGAAATTTTTGGTGGATGAAGAATTATTCAGTGATAATTGACAATTAGGTTGGATTTTGGTATGAAAGATTGTTCCTGTTGGTAGTGACCTATTCAGTAATGAATTATGTTAAGGTCATATTGGTGATCATTCTGCTTACTTCATTAGACGGGTATTCTACCGAATTCTGATCACGAAAAACTGCGGTGGGAAGAATTGTGATTATACTGATTAATTGTTTTTCTGCTGTTTTTTTATAATTAATTACATATGTCCAAGACTATAATTTTTTTTTTTTTTTTTTTTTTTTTTTTTTGAGGTTTGGCTGGTACATATAGTAATGTATCCTCTCTTTGGAAGAAAAGACAACAAAATTCAAGTCTTTGACATATTTTGAGGCAACAAACACATTTAGTAGGAACTGTGGAAATTGATGTAGACCCGAGTAAAATTGGAGCGAATTGGTGATTAGATTATAGGTTCTTTTGGTGATTATATTTGCCTTTAGATAGGATGCAATTGATTGGATGGTCTCTTGCAAAGCTTTTTTCTAAGGTGTATGTTACTTTTGGCTCGGGTTCCTATGTCTAACACGGGTATGTGTCCAAGCGTCTAACTTGGCTATTTGTGAAAAAATTCCATGATTTAAGTGTTCAAGTGTCATACCCATGTCAGAGTGTTAAGGAGCTGACACAGGTAGTTAGGGTGTTATGAAGAGTCAGAGTAACTTAAGGTATAGTAATTGTAGGGGTAGCTAGGTAGGGTTCTGCTGTTAGTTTTACCTCAATGAATGTTGAGAGACTGTTCTTTGCTATAATCATTGGCCAGAAATGAGTAATGAATAGCTACACAATGGCTGACACAGTGAGAAATTTGTTTTAGTTAGATACATTTCAATTTTGAAGTTTATCCAAATACTGAGATCTTGTCAACTGAAGCAAAACTATTTATTTTATATTTCTGCCTCGCTCCAATCTGTAAATGAGGTTCCTGTTCTTGTTTAGTTGCAATTCTCACCATATGCTCAGTTACGCATTGGTTTGTCCTGTCATCTCATGTTGACATGATGTATTCAGGGCTTTCAGGCTTACTTAGTTTGGTGGCTCCCTTTGTGTTGTCAAGTGGCACAAACAGTGTGTGTGTTACTCTTTGGTTCCATCTTTTCTGTAATTTGGCTAAGAAAATTTCCCATTGACTATGTACTACAATTTATTTTGCCAAATATCAGTGCCTCTGTCCCTCTCGGTTTAGTTTTCCAGCTTGAGTACAATCTATGTGTTTTGCTTTTACACAGATAAGGCCATGCTGTGATAGCACGCTTAATGTTGCTAAACTTGCTAAGATATATCTTCTTATGTTTTCTTCTTTGATTGTTGCTGATGTCTTATATTTTACTTCAGGGGATAAGCGCTCATATACTATGATTCTTCCAATATAACAAATATGTTTGGTTGTCAAAAGAAATTAAATATAAAATACATTGTAAAGAAAGAAATTTTTTACTACCTCTCTTTCTTTCATTTCCAAATATAATATACAATGTGAAGAAAGAATTTTTTTTTTTACTACTAAATCACAACTATGATAACCTGTACTTTAAATTAGTTGACACTTATGAACTGTCTGAAGAAGATTGCACTCAAGAGTTGTGGGTGAAGATTTTTATGTGTTCAAGATTAAATAGGATAAAAAGGGAAATGACTAACATAAGAAAAAGACCAGTATGTCTACAGTGCAATCTCCTTTTCTCTCCTCAAACTCATTTTCTCTCTTTCTTTCACTGTTGTCTTACTCTGCTACCAGTTCTTTGCTGTAAAAACCTCAGCAGCCTTCAAACCCCGAGAGCTGCTAACATCAAACTGCTTTCTTTCTCCTCAGTTGGCTTGAAGGTTCTGCTGAAAGCGCTCACCTCTATTGAAGACTTTAAGCTTTCTAGCTATGTGATGCATTTCTAATAGATGGAGCCTTGAGTGATGCTTTCATTTGAATGAATTTTCTAAACAAATGACTGACCTTATATATATATCTCATTTTTTTTTCTAGTATACTCCTATAAAAGTATATTGTTTGTTATTTTAATTTTTTACGTTTTTGTCTCTGTTTCTGTGCTACTTTATATATATCTCATTTTTTCTAGTGCTTTCTGCTGTCCTTGCACTGGAAATTTTGCATTTGGCAGCATACCATTGTTAAATTCTTCTTCTCAAATTAAAATTAATCACTTGAAATTAAATGCTATGCAGGTTCCATTCCAAGTCCCACTCGAAGTGAACATAGTTCTTGTTGGGTTCAATAGCGATGGAGGCTATAGGTACTCACTCGACTTGCACAAATTGCAGGAGTTCTTAAAAATAGGCTTTCCAACTCATCGACCCTCCTGCTTGGAGACTGGAGAGCCCCTGGATATTGAACATCATCTTGTCTACAATGTCTTACCTGTAAGGACTGCTGATGTATATGGTTCTTTTGGTGTCATTTATTGCGTTCAGATAAGTCAGAGATTCTAGACTGCCTAACTATGATCTTCTGTATGATATGCGATGTGTCCCTACTCCATTATAAGATGATATATGCAAAATTTTAGAATTTTGTCTGTAAATATACATTATAGAGGTTAGCGTCCAGATTTATACACATGGCTCATCTTTTTTTTTATTTTTTTTTTTTAATTTTTTATTTTTTTTATTATTATTATTATTTTTTTTTTTTAAATGTGAATCACTTGCTTCTTACTTTAGAGATATCATGTAGCTGAGAACATGTGTATTTTACTGTGTTGCAGGCTGGAGAAGCAGAACTAGTATCTCTCGAGAAGGTGTTAAAGGAGGCTATGGTTCCTGCTGGAACCGCTAGAGAGGTGATGAGAATAATATCTCTGTTGCTTCTCACCCTCTCCCTCTCTTTCAAAGAAACCTAATATGCCTGGTCCATTCTACCTTTTTTCCCCTTATTTTAATGGGTAGTAATTTAGTGAGGGACCATAAGAATGAAAATATGAATTTATGACAAGTTGATTAAATATTTATTTAGTGTATCAAACAGATCTCTTCTTCCGTATTGAGTGAAATCATGATTTTAGTCATGAATAATGTGAATTATCAAGTTTATTCTTAATGGATTGCTTTCTAATGTTAAAATCATAGTTGTGGATTGTGGCAGCAAAATTAAATAAGAAAGAGAAATTTTCAAAAGGAGATCAAATAGGGAATTTATTTTTTGTTAATTTTACATGAACTTCAGTATATCTGCATTAAAGACCATTATTTCACTGAAAGTAATCTGGATAAGGAATTTGACACATTGCACTAAAAATTTCCTCTACTTCATAGAATACCTTTAGAGATTTTATAAAACCACTGGGGCACTCAATGCCTCGTCATAATAAAGTGAACGTTATTATACCTTGTTGAAAAAAAATCAAATGCAAAATTTGAAGTGTTGCTTTTATGTTTCATGAAGTTTATTGGTTTCACATGTCTTTTGGTGAATTATCAATCATAGACTGAATTTGGAAAGGAAGTGCCTGCATTTGATGTGGAAGCAACAGCTGTGGAGCCTATTTTTGAGCAGCTGTATTCCTACATATTTGGTGTTGAGAGTGCGGGATATACTGCGCCAGAGATTGACCGACCAGTGCCAACTGCGATATTTGTTCTAAATTTTGACAAGGTATCGTAATATCGAGTAATTTGCATAGTAATATATGGCATTGTTGAACGTTTTTAGAAAATATTAGTTCCGAAATTGATGATGATATAACCTGTAATTATGAGTTCTTTTGGTTGAGAGAGAGAGAGAGAGAGAGGGGGGGGGGGGGGTATGACTGCTAGTGCAAACGACAATGGTTTTTACCTCCTGACCACTGGTATATCATTCTTGAAAAGTTACCAATGTAGGTGTATCTTTAACCATTCCCTCTGCTGACTAATGGATACGACTATGCTAGTGCACTGTTTTAGCTCCAAGCCTCCTTTTGATCACTGCTATATTATTTTAACAATTACAAGTGTAGATGTTGCATTTATTCCCTCATCTGACAAATGGTTTTAGTAATTCAAACAGGTCAGAATGGATCCTAGAAATCAGGATATAAATCTTGATGATTTAGTGTATAGTAGAATTACACAACTTACAGAAGATGATACGAAGAAGCAAGAAGGGGATTACATATATCGATATCGTTACAATGGAGGAGGAGCATCTCAGGTTTGGCTGAGCTCAAGCAGGTATTTCCTATGCTATGACAAAGTCACTCCCTTGTTGTGTGTAGGCAGTCTCATATGATACCTCAACTCTAACTTTTTAGCTGGAGATTTATGCTCTACATATTTTTGCAGATTCGCTGTTATTGACTTGTCAGCAGGTCCTTGCACATATGGCAAGATTGAAACTGAGGAAGGAAGCATCAGTTCAAGAACACTCCCACGCATACGTAACATGTTTTCTAAAGAGTTAAGTGCTGCTGCTGTCCATTCAAGCCATGATGTATTTGTTGGTCAACTTGGAGCAGTAATTACAACCACAGTTGAGCATGTTCTAGCTCCAGATGTTAGGTATGCTTTGGATTACTAACCTGGTATTATCTTTTGCATTTATAAGAATTTCCTATGGGTCTTAGTAAACAGATCAGCGACAGAACCCATAGCAGACTGTTGTTCTATGTAGTTTATGACAATAATATTGCTTAGTTTGTGTGTAACCACAATATTCCTTCTGTTTAGCAGCCTTTTTAAAATTTTGACAAAAGCTCCAATTTGGGGTACTTGGTGGTAATAAGTGTAATAAAAGTTGTGGCATTTTGGTGACTTTGTTTGACCTCTAGGGATAAGGCTTTGTTGTTGATGTATATTGTTGATTTTCCTTTCGCTCATGTAGGTTTGAATCTGTTGATATGACGAGAAGGTTGCTTATACCAATCATTGTCCTACAGAATCATAACCGTTACAACATCATGACAAAAGGCCATAATTACAGTATTGATGTTGAAGCAATTAAAGAAGAGGTAGGTTTTCTACTTGCTGCTCTTTAGGCAGGAGTTTGATCAGTAGTGTTTTATTTTGGGTCCATTGTTGTAAATGGTGCCTTCTGTAATCTCTGTGTTATATCTGATGAGCTTTATGAGAAACTATAAATGCTTCCTTTCGTTTGAACTTCTGAATGTGTTATATCTGATGAGCTCTATGAGAAATTATAAATGCTTGCTTCTTTGAACACTTTTTTTTGTGTTAGCAGCTAGATTTATAAGGTTGCTTTTATCAGTAAAGTACTATCGACTCAAACAAAATAAGGTTCAGTGAACAATAGTGCAGAGCTTAGGCTGTTGCTCATCACTTCTGTTGATGTTGGGCAAATTCCAATATTATTGCAGAGGATATTTTTTTACCCTATCAGTCTAAAGAAAGGAGATATTGGACTGTACGAACTAAGCAGCAAATTGAAAGTGTTTGTAGTGCTCTAGGCTCTACATAATTGACTGGTAAATTCATCCGGGAAAATGTTAATCTCAGTGCTCCATATTGTATCTTTTCAGGTCAAGAAAATGGTCCATCAAGACCAAGAAGTGGTGATTGTTGGGGGTACATATCCATTACATCAGCATGAGAAGTTGGCTGTTGCTGTCTCTAAAGCAATGCGGGGCCATTCAGTCCATGAAACTAAAACTGATGGACGTTTTCATGTCCAAACAAAAACATATGTCGATGGTGCTATTCTCAAAGAGGTCTGCTTTTTCTTTCTCCTGTTCTGTATATTATTAGAACAAACATCATGAAGCCACGAAGGGTTGCTCTGTGCAGATGTTTTGTTACAACTTATAACCACCACTTCTATTTGTTGTTCTCATTTAAGTTCCTGTGCTAGTTCCATGCATCTTGCTCGGTGGAATCATCACAGATGTGGTTTTGTAACATGAAAATATCATCTGCAGGAAATGGAAAGGTCAGCTGATGTTCTCGCCGGCGGTATATTAGAGGTGGCTGATCCATCTCTTTCAAACAAATTTTTTCTTCGCCAGGTTTGCCCAATCCTATAATTCTATTGTGTTACCTATGGAATTCTATTCTTTTTTCTTGTAGCCTTGGCCCTGCATATTTCAATTTTGGTTGTGATATTTTTTTTGTGGTATGCATATTATTTTGTTATTCTATCTTTGCAAATATTTGAGATAACTTTTTTTTAACCTAACTAGTTTGGCAACTAATAGGGGGGCAATGTCCTGACTCAACCCTTAATGAGCACTTTAACAGAGTAACTAGACTTGAGCAAGTTTTTCCAAATTAGGGTACTATGAACATTTTGCTTCATTTTGTTGCCTCTTAGGCAATTAGCCTAACTCGTTATTTTGACAAACCTATATGGACTTTCATGTCTCGAGAATAGGATCTCTAATGTCAATTATCTGCTCTTTTTGAAACTGCTTTTACTTGTGGGACGTTAGCACTTATGGGTGCTAATTTCTGTACTGCATGATATATGGTATTTCCTGAAAGGACTTGTGATATTTGAATATTTTCATTTGCCATTTAGCTTCTTGATTCTCATAACTGCAGTGCAACATTTTCAGAGTTTCATGGATGAATCAGCTGATTCAAGTGATTCCATTTTAAAGCACAAACCTCTTTGGGCTACTTACAGCAGCAAGTTCAGCGCCCAAAAGAGAAAGAAAACTATAAAGAAAGAGGGGAATTTATACAGGACCTATGGGACTAGAGTCATACCAATGTAAGTACAAAACATTGGTATCGATGACCGTGTGTAAATAATTCTGATGAATACAAGTTTAGACTATAGATGTAAAAATGTAGATCTTTTTTTTTTATTTTTTTTTATTATTATTATTTTTTTTTTGGCTAATTAAATTCCACCTGATCTACACATTTTGGACAAGAAAATAATGTTCAGCAGTATCCCATGAAAAAAAAGGCAGAATGGTTTCCTATGTAAACATATCTATCAAATCTTAAGTTAGATCCCTGATTTTTTAGTTGGTATTAATGTGAAAATTGCTGACAATCATTTCAGATATTAAGTCTACTAACCTCCTTTACCAGTTTTGTGCTATCATTAGCTGATGTTGATCCTCACCTTATGATGGAAGATGAAAGCTTGGTTTGGACAAGCAAGGACGTTGTCATTGTACTTGAGCATCAAAGTGCAAATATACCTTTAAGGTGAGTCAACTAAATTATTGAGGAACTTGCTTTGCTCTTTAATTAATTTGGACTCTGTTATACATTGTTAAAAATGCTTAATGTGATTGATTCAATATCGATGAATCTAGAAAAGTGGATTGATGGTTGGAACAGACGTATTAATATTTAATGGTGTAAAACCTTCACCAATTTCGTTTCAGTCAGTGGTGTGGGAGTGAGATATGTGATGGCTGATGGGTATGCTGCGAAATTTTCAATTTTAGATGCTTATTGCTCATATTTTATCTCTGTCTAGAAGCATTTGAAATATTTGGATCTTAGCTTCAACAACTTCTTAGGCCAACCTATCCCTAAATTTATCAGTTCCCTTGCCAATTTAGAGCACCTTAATCTCTCAAATTCCGGCTTTACAGGGAAAATTCCATCATAAGGTATATTTGCACTTATATATAGTTTGGCTAAAACAGACTAATAACATGTTTGGGTCTAAAATTTGAAAAAATCAAAATTTGAAAATTCCATCAAGCTGGTAATGACCATCATTGCTACTCAATACAGTCAATACCATATTACCATGCCCCAAAATTTGATATAATTTTTTGAAAAGCCAGGAGCCAAGTTCTTCAATTTCTGAACAAGTAATTGTACTTTACGTTGGGATTGTGAAGCTTATAGAAATTTTCAGTAGAATATTGATTGGCAAAGAACGATTGTCTTAACTCTGTATGATGAAAATGTGCGACAGCATTGTTGTTGGTGCATCACCAATGAGAGGGATAAGACAAAAATAATTATCCTCGTGGTGTAAAAATCACTGTTTATACATATTGTGTCTCACATTTTCACTCCCTTCTTGTATAGAGATGGAGAGCAACCTTGTAATGCTACATTCTAATTTTGTTGCATCATCTCTCTAAACTCTGTGGATGGCATCTGATCTTGTCAAATTACTTTTTTTTTTTTTTTTCCCTCCCTCTTCATTGATGCTTGCTGTTTTTCACACTTGAATGCATTTATTTGGTTTGAGTTATCACTTTTCAGTTTGGAAATTCTACTTTCAGTATAGCTCTCCCCTGTTTAACTGTTGTAACCATTCTTAACCTTGCTTATGTGCTTTGCTTCTTTCAACAGCTATGTTTCTGAAACTGAAAGGAGGCATGCTCTTCCATCACAAGCACAACGTCATATATTGGCAGGCCTTGCTTCAGCTGTTGGTGGGCTGAGTGCTCCTTTTGAAAGGGCTTCCCATGTACACGAAAGGCCAGTGTTAAATTGGCTTTGGGCAGTTGGTTGTCATCCTTTTGGACCATTTTCCAATACGTCGAGAATCAGTCAAATGCTTCATGATGTTGCACAAGTAATGACCAAATTTTATATTTAACTGAACAACAAAATTGATTATAGAAAATCATAGTAATGTTTAATTATCGTGGTAGTGTTTATTGATGTCTAATTTTAGTAGTTTCCTGGATAAGTAACATATATCAGCTCATTTTACTCGTGATTTGCAGAGGAACACAATATATGCTCATGTTGATTCTGCACTCCGGAGGATCAGGGATACATCACAGGTGATTGAATTTGCATTTTGGTGTCTTGATCTGCCATACGGATGAGTAATAATCTATTAATTTCCAATGTGGATGGAACTCGTGACATCCTTACTTTTCCTGCAGGCTGTTCAAGCTTTTGCTGGTGATTACCTGAAGACTCCTCTTGGAGAACCAGTAAAGGGAAAAAAGAACAAGTCAACTACTGAACTTTGGGTGGAGAAATTCTACAAAAAGACCACCCATCTTCCAGAACCATTTCCACATGAATTAGTTGAAAGACTGGAGAAATATTTGGACGTAAGTCCTCAAGCTCCATAAATAGCTAGTTTTATGTTTATGGTTATATATGTTAAAGTAGTGATCTCAGATGATAATTTGATGACAGGTACTTGAGGAACAGCTTGTTGACTTGTCGTCCCTGCTGTATGACCATCGGTTACAGGAAGCACATTTCAATAGTACAGAAATTCTGCAATCATCAATGTTCACGCAGCAGTGAGTTATCCTTCCAAATATTCTAAAATGACGTCTCACATGAATATTTTTTTGATGTATTGCCCTTCTACCCATCGTCTTTCCTTACATCTTTGACACCAATCTGATGCAGGTACGTTGATAGTATCCTGGCCAGCGAGCGCGAGAAGATGAAATGCTGCAATATTGAATACAAAGCCCCTATCCAGACATCTCAAACATTTATATATGGGGGAATTCTTATTGTTGGGTTTCTTGTATATTTCCTTGTCATTTTTTTCTCGAATCCAGTTCGCTAATCATAGTTTAATGTCACGTGCTGACTAATCCCCCTAGTCTTATGCACGCTAGCCTACTAACTTCCCTCCCTCGGATGCTAGTCAAGGCTTAACCCCGAAATGCTTCAAGCAAGAGTGTGCAACGAAAGTTAAGGAATGTTGAGAACACGAGAGGATATAAATATTTTGAATGCTTTGATTGCTTGAGAGAGAGTGTTTACAAGTATTTTCTGAGATGCCTCCAAATGAAGGCCAAGTCCCTTATTTATAGTGTTCTAAGCATGGCCTAGAACCTTCACTAACCTCCTCAAATGGAGGGTTCTAGATCTAATCATTTCCAGAGTATTCTATACATTTCTTTAGTACATTCCCTCTATGTACAAGGCTCTAGAATTATCTACACAACTCTAGAATTTACAGATGATTCAAGGATGTCCTAGGAGGTTCTAGAAGCTTCCGGATGCATCTCGAGTCTCCTTGAGTATTCTGGAACCTTCCGGACTTCTCCTTCAAAATCTAACACCACCATGATGTTTATTGGGCCTAAAAATGGTGGACCCCCAAATTTGGGCTCAATCGGACTTCATTTGGGTCCCCAAATAGCCCATTATTGTGTTACTGTCACTTGGGTGTTCACTAGGGTGACAGCACTAGAGCAATATAAAGCTCTATAGGGGGAGGGTGTCTCTGGCCTAGCCAGCGCGCACCAAGGGCATTCCCCCTAGCCATGATTGTTGCCTACCGTCCAATGGCCCTAGTGAGGGGTGGAATGTGTGGGTCGTGACATGCTCCCCCACCTAAGTCTTGACGCCCTCGTCAAGATCCCGACTCGAACGCCTCGATCTTGTCCGCAAATTGCCACAAATCTTCTTCTTTTTCCCACGAGGCCTCGCTGTCCTGGAGACCCTTCCAACGAACAAAGTATTCATTGTAGCTTGGCACACCTCGACGCCTTATGACTCTCTTTGCCTCGATGCTCTCAATGTCCCTTTCAAACGATGCTACCACGGCCGTAGGTGCCCGTTGTGATTTTCCCCTGGTCTGATCCTCCCGATCGGCATGGTAAGACTTTAACATGCTAACATGGAACACCGGATGTATTTTCAGCTTGGGAGGTAGCTCAAGCTTATAGGAAACTTTCCCGACCTTCCTAATGATCGGGAATGGCCCTTCATACTTCCGCACTAGCCCCTTATGCACCTTGCGGAAGACTTTGAATTGGTGCGGCAAGAGCTTCACCATGACTAGGTCGCCTTCTTGAAACTCCAATGGGCGCCTGTTTTTGTCGGCCCACTTCTTCATCTTCTTAGCGGCCTTATTCAAGTAAGCCTTGGTGATGTCGAGCTGCTCGTGCCATCCCTTAGCTAATCTGTAGGCAGCGGGACTGCTACCCGTGTAACCCGATACAACTGCTTGTGGAGTCAAGGGTTGTTGACCCATGACTATCTCAAAGGGGCTTTGCTGGGTTGCCTCGGACCGCTGCAGATTAAAGGAGAATTGGGCAATGTCTATGAGCTTCGCCCAATCTCGCTGATTGGCACTCACAAAATGCCTCAAATAGAGCTCCAACAAAGCGTTCACTCGCTCTGTCTGCCCATCCGTCTGCGGGTGGAAGCTTGTGGAGAAATGTAGACCTGACCCCAGCAACTTGAAAAGCTCCGTCCAAAATTTGGCGGTGAACCTTGGATCACGGTCGCTGACGATGCTCTTTGGCAAGCCCCAGTACTTGACCACATTCTTGAAGAATAACTTGGCGGCTTGCTCCCCTGTGCAAACCTTATGTGCCGGTATAAAAGTCCCATACTTGGAAAAGCGATCAACTACCACCATGATAGAGCGAAACCCCTCTGACTTGGGCAAGGCAGATATGAAATCCATTGAGACGCTTTCCCATGGCCTCTCTGGTATAGGCAAGGGCTCCAAGAGTCCTGCTGGCACACATTGCTCTACCTTGTCTTGTTGGCACACAAGACAAGTCTTCACATAGGCCTCTATATCGTCCTGCATGTGAGGCCAGTAGTATACCTCCTCCAAGAGTGCCATTGTCCGCTGTATCCCAGGGTGACCAGCCCATAATGAATCATGACACTCCTTCAAGATGTCACGCCTAATGTTGTCCCACTTAGGCACATAGGTGCGACGTCCGACGGTGTAGAGTATCTCATCCTCTATCCAGAAGCGTCGGGTCTTTCCTTCGTTAGCCAAGTCCATCAAACTCTTGGCCATAGAATCCTCCTTTAAACCGTCCTTGACTCGATCAAGGAGGGTGCTAGCTATGTTGCTCACGCTAGCAAATATTGCCTTGCGGCTTAGAGCATCAGCAACTACATTCACCTTCCCTGGCTTGTACTCCATAGCGTAGTCAAAATCAGCCAGGAAGTCTTGCCATCGAGCTTGCTTGGGGCTAAGCTTCTTTTGATTTTGGAAGTAACTTGTTGCAACATTGTCGGTATAGATTGTGAACCGACTCCCAAGCAAATAATGTCTCCAGACGCGCAAGCAACGAATGATAGCTGTCATCTCCTTATCATGCACTGGGTATCTCCTCTCAGTGTCATTGAGCTTACGTGACTCATAGGCCACTGGATGCCCTTCTTGCATGAGAACTCCTCCGATAGAAAAATCTGAGGCATCAGTGTGTAGCTCGAATGGCTTTGAGTAGTCGGGCAGTGCTAATACGGGCTCTTTGGTGACGGCATCTTTCAAGTCATTAAAGGTCTCTTGACATTTGTCGCTCCAACACCATTGTGCCTTCTTCTTTAACAGGTCAGTCAATGGTGCCGCCCGTGCTGAGTAGCTCATGATGAACCGCCTGTAATAGTTGGCGAGCCCAAGGAAAGAACGTAGTTCCGACACGTTCTTGGGCTCCTCCCATTCCCTGATGGCTTGCACCTTGTCATGCTCCATCATTATCTTTCCGGCTTTAATATGGTGTCCCAGGAATGACACCTCCTCCTGTCCGAACGAGCACTTCTCTTGCTTCACATAAAGCTCGTTCTCTCGTAAGACCTGGAACACCTGTCTCAAATGCTCCACATGATCTTGTAAGTTGTCGCTATACACGACGATATCGTCGAGATAGACGACTACAAATTTATCAAGGAAAGGCCGAAAAATCTTATTCATTAAGGTGCAAAAAGTAGTAGGGGCGTTGGTGAGTCCAAAAGGCATCACCAAGAACTCATAAGAACCATACCTGGTCACGCATGCCGTCTTCGCCTCGTCCCCTTCGGCGATGCGCACCTGCCAATACCCCGATCGCAGGTCCAACTTGGAGAAGTATCGGGCTTTGCCGAGTCGATCGAACAAATCGGCGACTAACGGGATTGGATACTTGTTCTTGACAGTGATCTTGTTGAGAGCCCGATAGTCAATGTACATTCGCAAGCTGCCATCATGCTTGCGTTGAAATAGTACTGGTGCTCCAAATGGTGCCTTTGAGGGCCTAATGAACCCTGCTTCCAGCAGCTCCTTCAATTGCTTCCTCAATTCCTCGAGCTCTGGTGGGGCCATGCGGTATGGTGCCATGGCTGGAGGCTTGGTCCCTGGCTCCAGCTCAATCTCGTGATCCACCTCCCTTCTAGGAGGTAGTCTCTTCGGTAGCTCCGGAGGCATCACATCCTTATACTCTACAAGGACTCCGGAGATTTCTGATGGAACCTCATTCCCATGGGGATCCTCTTCCTCCACTAATGCAGCCAAGAAAGTCTCTTGTCCCTTTTTGATCCCCCTGGACACCTGGATTGCTGAGATTGTCTTGGCTTCAACTTCTTCTCGTGTGACAGGAACGGACCATGACCCTTGATCCCTTTTGATCATAATTGACCCGTCCGCTTCAAAAGAAAAGGGCCTTACTGTGTCGATGAACTCAAGTCCCAACACCAAAGAGAAGTCGTCCATATGCACGACTGTGAGATTTATGGTGCCACTCCATTGTCCCAGACAAATAGGCACCTTGTGCGCCACACCAAGGATAGGAACGGGCGAGGTGTTGACTGTCTTGATCCTCCCCGGTTCCTTGGTGTACTTGATTCCCAACTTCATTGCTTCCTTCCCCGTAATGAATTTGTGTGAGGCACCACAGTCCACGAGTGCCTTAGAAGCTCTCCCATTCACTAATGTATCAACAAACATAAGTGAGCCCTTCGGGCGAGGTAACGTGCTTACCTTGACCACTTTGGTGTTCTCCTCAGCTTTTGGTGTGGCCCGTACGCTACTAAAGAGACGCAACGACCCCATTTGTGCATCGTCCCCCGACGATTCACCGCCCGAAGCTATGATGGCGCTGAGCTTCTGTCTCCCAGGGCAATCCCTTGCCCAGTGCGGCCCTCCGCACAAGTAACAGCCCCTGTTGTTGGGCTTGTCAGATGATGAAGAAGACGACGATGATCCCTTTGCCTTGTCCTTTTTCACCGTCTTGTTGCTACTGGTGCTGCTTCGATCGGTGGGCTTGGCTCCCCCACCTTTTCCCTTGCTGCCGTTGCTGCGCCCTTCCTTCCTTGTGTCCTTGTAATCAACCAAGGACTCTGCGGCTGCGATGGCCTCAGCAAGTGTTTGAACGTTCCTCCTTTCTACCTCTTGTTGAGCCCATCGTTGCAACCCTCCAATGAAATATATAAGTTGTGTAGCCTCCGGCAAATCATCAACTTCGAGCACGAGGGTTGTAAATTGCTTGATGTACTCCTTGATGGTGCTGCTATGCTTGAGTTCACGCAGCTTCATCATGGAGACCTTGGTTGCGTCATGCGGGCGGAATTGCTTCTTGAAATCTTCCTTGAATTGGTCCCATGTTCGGATGGAACATGAACCACTCTTGATGTCTTGTTCACGCCTTCTCCACCACAGAATGGCATCATCTCCGAGATACATAGTGGCAGCATTAATCTTGGAGGCATCCTCCTCCAAGTGCACAGCCTCAAAGTATCGCTCCATGCTCCATAGGAAGTTGTCAATTTCCCGAGCATCCCTCTTTCCATGATACTTTGGAGGCTTGGGGATTTCCACCTTAGGACCGGCTTGAATGGTGGCGCCCCCAGCCACCGTAGCCCTTTTTAGCAACGTGAGTTCCTCCTTGAAGAGCTCATTCTCCTTCTTCAAAGCAAGGAGTTCCCCCATGAACTCCTCACGCATTTTCGCCATCTCTCCCGTCATCTTCTCAAAAGCCTGATCAGCGAGTGATTGAGCATCAAGGGATACCTCCTCTAGACGATTGTCTAGTTCCCCTAA